ACCAGCGCCTAGCGCGAAATCCTTTTTGTTTGATCTATATCTATGCTTGATATAGAAATGCAAAAGTTGAATTCGGTATAGGTAGCAACTTTGCAATTTTATAATAATGAAATCCATTCCACACACACAAAAAAAAAACATTTTTAGCGGTTGGTGAGGCGTGTAAATGCCACCGTGGGAGCTAGTGGTGTATTAATAGGTAGTTTACAGAGCGCCGATAAATGGGCGTATATTTGAATGATGGTGGCTCGGTAACACAGCTTAAATGAAGTAAAAACTTATTACTCATCCGTGGTCTCCACTTCATACTATGTTCGATAATGATGGCGATCTAAAAATAAATTTTGAATAATTTAAATTTAAATTCGATTTGAAACGGAACCTTCGTGGAGGCTTAAAAAGTTTCCCACAAAGGTGCATATTTTATCTACATTTAAGTAGAGTGAAAAGTTCCACGCGTCGACCGACTAATAAATCTCAATAAATATACAGGACTTATAATTTATATCGAACAAATTAATAAAGCACAGCTTGTCCTAAATATATTTTGTTACTCCATACAACATATCTGAACATTCGCATTTGCACTGCATGTATTATTTTTTTATCCACCACTTTCGTAGCTCAACACTCTGATCCGTGTAGCACAAACAGATCCTCACAAATAAATAAAACTCTGAGTTCGATACGTCGATCCCAATTTCACTGTTGACTTATGTGTCTTTCGCCTTTCTTTATTTGTACCATTTATTACAGTACTTCGGAAACATAATGGAGATGATACTATCTCAGTTTTCTAAAGAATGAGGCACCGTTTATAAGTCTATCTGAAAACAAATGCCCCAGGCAGAGCGTGTTTGGAGCGATCTATTGGAGAAATATCAGCAATCATTTACCGACACTCCCCTAAAAAAACTTACACCAAAAATTTCATCAATGATTGGTTCATGAGTAAAATTCCTTTTAAATTTACGTAACTTAAAACCTTTAGTGTCATTTAGTGCTATGCCAACCAAGAAAACCGTAAAATAAAGGCAAGATTAACTAAACTGTAAAAGTAATTCTAATTGTGTCTACACCTCGTCGTCGTGGCCTAAAGGATAAGACGTCCGGTGCATTCGTATATAGCGATGCAACGGTGTTCGAATCCCGCAGGCGGGTACCAATTTTTCTAATGAAATACGTACTTAACAATTGTTCACGATTGACTTCCACGGTGAAGGAATAACATCGTGTAATAAAAATCAAACCCGCAAAATTATAATTTGCGTAATTACTGGTGGTAGGACNTCGTATATAGCGATGCAACGGTGTTCGAATCCCGCAGGCGGGTACCAATTTTTCTAATGAAATACGTACTTAACAATTGTTCACGATTGACTTCCACGGTGAAGGAATAACATCGTGTAATAAAAATCAAACCCGCAAAATTATAATTTGCGTAATTACTGGTGGTAGGACCTCTTGTGAGTCCGCACGGTTAGGTACCAACGCCCCGCCTATTTCTGCCGTGAAGCAGTAATGCGTTTTGGTTTGAAGGGTGGGGCAGCCGTTGTAACTATATTGAGACCTTCGAACTTATATCTCAAGGTGGGTGGCGCATTTACGTTGTAGCTGTCTATGGGTTCCAGTAACCACGTAACACCAGGTGGGCTGTGAGCTCGTCCACACATCTAGGCAATAAAAAGAATAAAAAAAACGAATAGAAATACATTTCACACTGGTCCTTAAGCTCATTATAAATGATCTACTGCTTGCTCATCTTACAAAATATGTTAAACTAAACGGACAAATTCAAATAATTCAGAACAGCCTTTGTATTCAATTTAACAACACACTTTGTAATTAATGTCGTCTTCGTTTTCAGGTATTAATTACTTAGAACCCACACAAAGAACAACGATTGTATGAACGGTTTGTTTAATAGTATGGTAAAGCAACCACTTCGTCCCGTGAACAATTTAACCCGTATTAGGTTTAGTGAAAGAAACGATAACAAATTTCAGTGCAAATTTCAATGCAAATTTCAGTGTCCCATTGTCCTTCGGGGGGGTATAGAATTACGCAATTGAGTTGTACGAAGGATTGCGAGGCGCTTCGTTAATTTGCGACAACATTAATTCTATTTTAACGATCCTGGATGTTTTCGTATTGCTATTACAGTTTTATGTAACGTTTTTGGGTCTGGCTTAAATTGTGAAAGAGCGCGTGTAAACTGTATTTTTATTTTCTGGTACAATTTTTTTTTTTTTGTTTTTCGTAAATTTTAGCTTTTTAAATGTACATAACAAAAAAAAAATACATGTTTGCAATTCACACGTAGTATAAGTGAAACCTTCCAAAATTAAAATACAATTATCCTAAACGTCTTAAGTATATGTAAAATTTTGTCATTAGTAAATAATTGTAAGGTAGCGCCCTCTGTGAATTGATATTTTAATTTCACGTATAATCCTAAATTAAAATTCACTACAAGAGCTTTCATACACACGTTAGTATTAAAAAATCTCACAGATGGCGCTGTATTAAATAGTATGTATATTTCTGTCTCATTCTTTGCTGGCTTCATCCTACACATTTTTGTATTTGTGTCTCTTACCTGTCGTTTTTTCCGTTGCATCCGGTTTGAAATCACAACGATTCTAAAGAAGTTTTCACTTCAAAAAAAAAACATAATGTTACGCCATACCCGCTAAGGCATGTGATCGGAGTGTGAATTATACTCATCTATATATATATGTAATAGAAATTCCTCGCATACCTGTAACGAAATCTAGAACCCTGATTAGGAATTCCGGTAGCATTATTGCTCATATCCGAAAATGTAACGAAGTTTAGTGGTAGCGTTGGCATAGTCAATAAGTATAGGTCTTTAATTGTACTAGACGGTTGAATGGGCACACGGCCCAACTCGTCTTAAGTTGTTTTTCTTAATTTTTTTATTGCGCAAATGGCTGGAGGAGCTCACAGCCCACCTGGTGTTAAGCGGCTACCGAAGCCCATAGACATCTACGACGTAAATGCCGTCACCCACCTTGAGATATGAGTTCTAAGTTCTCAGTATAGTTAACTGCTACCCCACCCTTCAAACCAAACGCATTACTGCTTCACGGCAGAAATAGGCGGGGTGGTTGTACTTACCCGTGCGTACCCACAAGAGGTCCTACCAAAAGAAAGAAATAAACTCAAATTTTATTCCATAGCTGTTGACTGACTCTTCGAATCCGAGATTGGTTCGCGCTAGATTGGCTGGCCGTATTTAGCCTTTTTTTCTCACAATGCTCTTTGAATTGGTATTTTTTGCGCCATGTACCTTCTTTAGGTACTGCCAAGCGGCACGTCCAAATCTTAAAAAAAAACAAAATGTGTGCAATTCACACGTGGTAGAAGTGAAACCTTCCAAAATTAAAATACAATTATCCTAAACGTCTTAAGTATATGTAAAATTTTGTCATTAGTAAATAATTGTAAGGTAGCGCCCTCTGTGAATTGATATTTTAATTTCACGTATAATCCTAAATTAAAATTCACTACAAGAGCTTTCATACACACGTTAGTATTAAAAAATCTCACAGATGGCGCTGTATTAAATAGTATGTATATTTCTGTCTCATTCTTTTGTATTTGTGTCTCTTACCTGTCGCTTTTTCCGTTGCATCCGGTTTAAAATCACAACGATTCTAAAGAAGTTTTCACTTCAAAAATATTTGTTTTAGTAGCTACTGGCCAATAGACACCATAAATTGAAAACCGCTAAGTACTTTATTATTGACTTCGAAATCTCAGTAACATTGGAAAGAGATTTTCTAGGCCTTCAAATCAAAACAATCTGTCATAAGGTATTGTGGTACAAAAAATTGTGATGTTAACTTGTCCTGGTATTACCAACGTAATAGGAGGAGTGAAGTAAATAAGTGGAGACAATCAAGAAGGGTACCATAGCTTAGCCGAGTTATTGAATCGATTTTTTTTTAATAGAATAGAATAGAATATTTTTAACAGAAAAATTAGAGAAGATTTAGAATAGAATATTTTAATAGAATATAAATAGAAAGAAAATGTTGCTTTATTCTTTTCAAATTGACAAACTTGGTCAAAATAATAAAATAATCCAGATATTATAAATGGCGACTTGTGTGGTATATTTTCGAATAGCATTTTATCTTTTAGAAGTCATTACATTTATATAATCTTAAAATGGAAGGATATTACGATTGAAAATTTAAAAATAAAAACATAGCTATTTTAATTTATTCACTGGAAACTTTAGACTTTCTAACCTAATACCTTCAAAACAACAAAAGCGTTGTAGCGAAAACACCGAGACTAATTTAATATTTGTGAAACATAAACCTACAAACGTCCTATGAAATCTGAATTTCATTGGAAACTCAAAGCTTTTAACATGGTTTTGGCCCAGATTTTGTAGTCAATCCACGTGTTGCCAGTGTGTAATATGACGTCACACGCGTCTTCTCCGATAATGTATGTGCTTCAGGTTTAATAGCGATCGTTTCCGTTGCCATGGCAACCGTGTAGTGTCACATACACGCGCCTCTAAAATGATAATTATGAGAAGATAATGAATTAAAAACAATATTATCTATATCATGACTTTAAAAAGATATCCTTTTTAATTAATATAGTTTAATGAAATAAGAAAATAATGTAAATTGGTGATTAGTTTTACGACTCATAAATAAATGCTAGTCTAATAAAGATGATATGATCAAAAAGACTAAGACCCATGTGATTACTTTTATGTGTTTAGTTGGGCAGCAACGTATTTATGTACGTGATTGTATGTACCTAATTACTCGTAAATATAAATGCTTATTATAATAGTTAACGAACCATGATGTGCTCTATACTAATAAGCATACACTCGGATGATTTTAGTAATGTATCAAAAGAAACAATTCCAAACGTAATTTATTATATATACTTAAAATGAATTTAAAATATTTTTGTTTGTTCACAGATGACCTGGTACAGCGAAATACATCAATTTCTAATAAGATGAACATGAAAATTTGGATTTGATATGTTTGGAAATGATACTCTTCAGGATGTTATGGCCTCAACGATAGCCGCGAAGTATGAACCAGCCATGTCTCTGAACGGGACCACATATGTGGGCGGGGGGGTACTTATCCTCACTCGAACGTTGACGGGTGAATCAGTTGAGATGATCGACGAACCGAAAACAAACAAAACGATAGACATAATAGACGTGAAATTAGTTCAGGTCGCCTTTTGCATTCTCTACACAATAATCTTTGTTCTGGGCGTTTTCGGAAATGTCCTTGTTTGCTATGTGGTTTTCCGCAACAAAGCTATGCAAACAGTCACGAACCTTTTCATAACGAACCTGGCTTTATCAGATATATTGCTGTGTGTCTTCGCCGTTCCTTTGACGCCAATGTATACGTTTTTGGGACGATGGGTGTTCGGGAGATTGCTCTGTCATCTGATGCCGTATGCACAAGGAACAAGTGTGTACATATCCACGCTGACGTTGACTTCAATAGCCATAGATAGATTTTTCGTGATAATATACCCGTTTCACCCTAGAATGAAACTGAACACTTGTATTTTTATTGTCATTTTCATATGGGTGTTCTCTTTGGTTGTAACATGTCCTTACGGACTATTCATGGGTATACAGACCACCAACAACGAGACGTATTATTGCGAAGAAAGTTGGCCCTCAGACAGATCTAGAAAAATATTTGGCGTATTTACGACAGTTCTTCAGTTTTTAATACCCTTCTTAGTAATAGCTGTATGCTACACGTGTGTGAGTATAAGATTGAATGATCGGGCTCGGTCAAAACCAGGTGCTAAAAATAGCAAAAGGGAAGAAGCGGACAGAGATAGGAAAAGGTGTACTAACAGAATGTTAATTTCAATGGTCGCGATATTTGGAATCTCGTGGCTTCCTTTGAACTTGATAAATATATTCAACGATTTTTATGCTCAGATGACTGAGTGGAACTATTACTTCGTGTCATTCTTCTTGGCCCACTCTATGGCCATGGCTTCGACTTGCTATAATCCATTTCTTTACGCCTGGTTGAATGAAAACTTCAGAAAGGAATTCAAGCAGGTGTTGCCCTTTTTCGAGTCGAATGGAGGCGTAAGGAATAGTTACCATCCAGGACGTGTGCCACCCCACAAAACTAACAAGAACGTTTGTAATGGCAACGAAACTATACAGGAAACTTTACTGGCGTCCTCGTTCAATAGGGGACCTTCAATCAAACAGAGATTCGAAGGGAACGGGAAGAAAGATAATGGAATCGAAGTTGAAAACATTTTGTTGGAGGACAAAACAATCTCAGCTACTTTTCATACAAAGACCGAGAACGTCAATTTACAACTGATCGATGAGGAGTCACATTTCAGCGATCACAGAGACACAAAGTCACCGATATAAAGGTGAGTTTTAAATTATTATTTTTTTTGTTAAATTTCTTCTTCATAATAGAATAAAAATAAGACTAGTACTACAGATGTAAGCTCCATAAAAGTATTAAAACTAATCTACGCTATTTGTTTCTACGTATAATTTATAAATATAATTTACCTATTGGTCTTCACGTCGAATCAATGTCAAAAGAAAAATCGAAAGTTTGCTCATTTTGCTGGGGTTTCAAATGGGATAGTAATTGAACAGGGAATACTAAGGTGCATTATGGAGCATAAAGTACGCCATTAGAAAGGTCTAGAGAAATACATAATAATAAATTTGAATTTTGCTTCTATGGATAGACAAAAAAATATTGTATATAATTCCAAAATAAAATCTAAATCTTTCGTGACCTATCTTATTAAGTCCACCAGTTGATAAAAACCCTTTTATTTTACTTCCTTCCCCTATCTGCGTAATTATTGAAGTTCCTTCGCAAACACTTTCACTGAGTTTCAGTGGCTGCCAATTACAAACTTGACTTTTCGCAGTCCTTGTTTCTAAAACTTTGGTTATAAAAACAAGAGGTTGTCACCGAGACTATCTTAATTTGACTTTAAATCACTGAATTACGAAATTACAAAAGAGAACATCACATCATATTTTTTAACATTAATTTTTGTATTAAATTATTAAGATGCCCATCACAGTGAAAAATTACTTTGTGACGTGATAACGTCTTATAATATATCGATGGATACCCGCTGCACGCACGGAAAAGTGTCACGTTCCGCCTGAGTCTAAGCGTGCAAGCGAAAGCGCGGCACAAGCGATAAAGAGGCACGATCGGCCAAAGCGTTAATTTATCGAAAATATTGTAATTTTCAATTAACTTATTTTTTGTATTATACAAAATAACGATAATTCAGGATAATAATTCAATTCAATTCATAAAAGTATGCAATTTTTCGTCAATGCTTCTTTATGAAGTTATCACGTAAAACCGAATGAGAGATAAGTTCATAAAATATTTTGACATTAATTTAAAATGCCATAATAGCCAAATTATATCCAAAAATTGACTTAGTTCCTTTTTCAGTATTCATAAGCCGAATGAATCATTAGAATAAGGTTTGAATGCTAACTTAAACGCACTTTAGATTCGCTATTTGATTATCAATAACATCCAAATCGAACATCAATTAATGCGTAGAGAGATAATAACATAGTAATTTGTATGCAGATTGGTATTTTCGGTAATGAATATCAATTGGTACAGCAAAATTATTGTTCACAATGATTGAATTTTAATTAAATAATATGTTGTAGTTTATTCGTATCGTAACAATTAACTGTTACAATCTCCTGAGACATTGAGATGAAAGAGCTCTTTTTATTTGATTTTTGCTGTCTAGAATTCGGATCTAGAAATTTTTTCTTCCCGAGCGCTTTATTTAGTACTAGCGACCCGCCCTCGCTTCGCTTCGGAAACATTAAAACACACATAAAACCAAAAAAAAAAAAAAAAAAAAAAAAAAAAAAAAAAAAAAAAAAAAAAAAAAAAAAAAAAAAAAAAAAAAAAAAAAAAAAAAAAAAAAAAAAAAAAAAAAAAAAAAAAAAAAAAAAAAAAAGTAGCCTATGTTCATCAGGGACAATGTCGGCTTCTAATAGAAAAAGAATTTTTCAAATCGGTCCAGTAGTTTCGGAGCCTATTCGAAACAAACAAACAAACAAATCTTTCCTCTTTATAATATTAAGTATAGATGTCCATTCTTGGACAGAGCCCTTAGTGGTAAACGGCGACTTGACTACCCGTGGCATTGTTGATGTTCGTTAGCTTCAGTAATATCTAACCATTGGCAAGATCCTTCGACGCTAATGTAAAGCCATTTTATTTATTGAAAATATTTGATATTCATATTTATAATTTTCACAGGTACCGCCGAAACGCCACAAAAAACTATTCATAGCAGTTCTTCAAAATTTACGTGCGTTATGTAAAATCATCCCACTTTATTGTATATGTATTTACAACTAGCTTATCGATTTTAAGTCTTAGAATAAACTTCATAAGAACTTAAATTACTTTGCCACATTGAAAATGTACTTTGTAGTAATGTGATTTATTCTAGGAATGTATTGATTGAATAAATGAAATAATCTTAGAATACGTTTCATAAATGTCGTTAATTAATTTAGGTTAATTAGTTAAAATTAAGTAAAAACTAATTTATAAAAATGTACTTAGTGCTACTAAATAAAGTAATGTTGGAACTAAATTAAGATATATTTAGAAATGAATGGGATTTACTGACTGTGATGGAAGGTGATCGTTTGTATTGTATTTGTAACATAATGTATAAATGTCGTTTTTTTTTTTTCGATTAAATCAATTTTAAGAATAAGTTATTTTAGCAAGTATCCAAAAGGCCTATCTAATATTATTTTTAAGTTATAACGAATTGCTTTTCATTATTATATAACGTGATTAGTGTCCCTTAATTAAACTAATGAGCCCGGTTTCAAATTACGTGTAAGTAAAATTATGGTTTTTGATTAATACTAAATGGTAAATTTTAATTAATATTATTAAATAATTTAAATAAATAATTAAATAATTTAAAACAATATTACGTATTTGAAATCTTCGTTTATTATGAGACACTAATCAGCGACATAAATTAGTGTTATAATTATTATATCTACGTAACTGATAATATTATGATCTCTTACACAGTAGAATGTATTAAATATAGAAAAAACGTAATAATCTTGTTAAACTAATGTAGAAATTGTATCGTGTGATAAATATATATATATATATAATTATATATTTAACTATTTATATTTCATTAAGTTGTTATTCGCTTCGTAGTATTTATTGTATGTAGTAGATACGTTGTAACGTGAAGAAATAAAGGATTGTTGTTTTGTAAGACGTTTTTATTTATTTATTTTCAAGGTACAACCAACTAAATTTAATTACTATGTAGTGCCCGCTAAGCTGAATCATTCTTGCCTAAAAATAAGATTTAAATACTATATGAAGTTGAGATATTACATTTAGGTCTGGACAACTTTAAGAGAAGAGAATTGTTAACAGAATTAGTCATTTGGTTGATGACAAATTAGATTTAATTATCATAATTTGACTACTGGAGCACAAAGTCCGCATTCGATTCCCGGTACGAGTCAATTTTATTTAACATGTTATCTAAGATCTTGTTGCGAATACTTGTCTCGTATGTGTTTTCCGTATCCATAAAACACAAGGAAATAATTCAGATCAATGATCAGCATCCCCATCTGCTATAAATAATGAAATTAAAAGCACGTGTGGCACTCGGGGACTGCCGCATTAAAGCTATTGCATAGCATTTTTAAATTAATAAATATAAATTAAAACAATACAAACATTAAAACAATAATTAAATAAGACCACGCTATGTTTATAAACATTAACAAAAGCAAAACATTAACTGTCCCCTTCACACTCATAAGCTAGATCGCGTGAGAAAGAGATGGGCAGACTTTTCATGATGCGCATGCAGTGCGACGTCACGCCGCGCGCTTATTCACAAACACAACACAAGCGCAACGTGTGAAAGTGTTGAACGCGAGCTACATGGTAAGCGAAGTGGAGGTGTTAGGTTTTGTTTTCGTTACGGAATTTCTTAATTCGGTCGCTGCGCTCAAAGCCCGCGATAAAAGCTATGCAATAGCTTAATTGTTTTCTGATGCCATTCGAACGTTTAATTTAGTTTTTTTTTTTAAATGAAATATTTAATTTTACTCGTAAAGAAAAAGCTAAGACTTACTAAAACGTACTTACCAAAATAGTGGGCGGCTTACGCAGAGACATTATAAAGAGGTTTCAAAAGAACACAACTGTCTCAAGCACGTGACATTCTATACATAATTCCAAAGTACCGTACATAATAACCAAGTAACTTGGTTAAGACTTGTTTGTTTCCAACTTAAAGCGTATTCATTCCCTAGTGACATTATTGTGACATTAAATCACACTACGAAGGCGTAAAGAAGCTAGATGGTTATGATGAATAGTGTTCTGAAACTCTAATTAGATTTGTATTTATATTTTTGTTTGCGTATTTTTTTACTTCAGTCAGAAGGGATCCCATTATTCTTCAGTGATAGGACTCAATATTTGCTTCGATTAAAAACTACTTGACTTGACTACGCTAGATAATTATCTCCCACAGTGAACTTGAGTCGAGTAGGAGTTAATTACGAATAATAAATTATGATTTCTAAGATTCGCATCACGAGATATTTGAATAACAATATGATGCCCGACAGTCGAGGTAGTCAGGGCCCGAGAATAGTAAAAGGCGGAACGTCATAATTGTGAACTAATTTGTGACTTTGCACCGATTGTGTTTATTGACGTGACAACGTCTTATAATTCGATGGATTCGGATGACTCATGCGGCGTTACCTCGCTCTGAGGCGTTCCATTTAAGGCTTGAAGTGCAAGCGAGAACGCACAACGAGCGACAAAGAGGCACCGCGTTCGGCAGCGTTCGACATCTATCTCTCTCTTACTTGAGTAAGCGATGCATCCGCGTGGACAGCTGCTATACAATAATACATTTACATGTTTTCGTCAAGTATGAAGTTCAGTGAAAAGTGAATATGGTGTTAATTGTCCATACAAAATATCTATCAAACAAATGAAATTAAAATTTTCTTTTGAAAAATGAAACCATTCCATCAGTATTTTGTTTATGACGTTGTCACGTTTAACTATCGTCAGTAAACCGACTTTACAGACAACCGATTTTTTTTATTGCTTAGATGGGTGGACGAGCTCACAGCCCACCTGATGCTAAGTGGTTACCCGAACCCATATCATTAGCCTGTATCTCTGCACTGCTGGATGTAGGCCTCTCCCTTACGATCCTCCACTTTTCGCATCCAATCTTTCCCAGCATACCGCCGCGAGTCATCGGTCCACCGGGCAGGGGGACGCCCAACGCTGCGCTTACCGGTACGTGGTCTCCAGTCCAGAACGCGTCTGCTCCATCGGCCATCGGTTCTACGACACGTACGTCCACCGGAGCCCATAGACATCTACAACGTAAATGCGCCACCCACCTTAAGATATAAATTCTAAGGTCTCAGTATAGTTACAACGGCTGTCCCACCCTTCGAACCGAAAGGCTACTACTATTATATATTATATATTCATATATTATATATTTGCATTATATATGTATGTATCCTCAATCTCTCTCAATTCAGGTAAGTTAATCTTCTTGAAGGAATAAACTTGGTTAGACGTTGGAATGAAAGCTCGACTCATAAAGTTTTATGACCGGCCCACGTCGTGCATATGCCGAAGTTACGATTATTGAGTAATTTTCTAACGTTCATGATGAATCCCGGCAGGTTTCGTACCATTGTTGATAGGTGATTTATCGAGTTCTAATATAAATCTAAATCGAAAAATCATTAACTAGAATATAATTTGAATTGTCCTAAAATCTAAAAAAAATATATTTTTAAATAAGCCGGGTGAAATGAAGTTTCGGTAAAATGGTGCTAATTTACTGAAACTCCAGTGGATTTTGAGAAAAGCCGAGAAGCCGTTGCTTCCAGCGGATTTGCTGTTACATGCTTAAACTTTATGATAGGCAACATTTACATTTGCAAAATAAAATAATTCACCCAACTACGCTCCTCGAGTTCCCGCCCAAAAGTTCTGCAGACTTGTTTTTAACTTTTGGAAGTAGGTATTTAATCTCTTACTTATATCTACAAGCACAGGTAAAGGGAAAGTAGGTTATACAGCCAAGTCTGAGCAACATAGGCCAAAAACATGTATTTTAGTTCACCAAACCGTTGGTCAGATCAGATAACTGCGCTCACTGGACTCTCTGTTGCGACCGCCCTGAGAGAAGACGAAAATCGAAGCAAATGGAAGCTGATGGTACAAAGAGCCACGAAGGGCTTTCAGGGACACGACCATCAGCAATGAAGTATGCGACTAAGAAGCCCAAAAATTAAATGAAACGATCTCTCATAAAATTTCGATATTTACTGAGATAACTATTCGAGAGATGAACTCGGATTCTCAATTGTATGTCATAAAACTTAGAATTATGAAATTCTATCTTTCCTTCACATTTCTCAAATTATAGCCGAAGTTGTGAGACTAAATATAAGCGACCCTGAAAAAATCGCCTACTCTTTTTCACCCAAGAAATAGTAGAACGAAGAGAGAGAGAGAGAGTGAGACTTAATATTATCGATTAGTTTTTAACATCATTTAATATTTTTACATCAAAAGCAAACAAAAACTTATTAATAATTTAGGTACTCTAATAGCTTAAAAGCATTGCCATACATTCAGCGTAAATGCTTAATGAGGAAAGAATTCAACAGCATTCGGTACAATACTAGTGAACAAAGGACCCTAAAAGAGATAGATCCTGAGGTAAATCCTTAGAGAATCAATTCTGTTTCGTGCTACAATCTTAATGTTTCACTCTATTTTTTCAGTGTAGTAATTCAGTTCTCAATGTTATTTGTAACTGGTAAATAAAACTAATCTTGCTATTTATGTGTCTTGAATAAAAATGGACGCTTTGATTTGAGAATTTTCATTTTGATTTGAAGAAAACCTTTTAATCAGCTTCAATAATGGTAATAATTTCGTAATTAGTGTGCAAACACATTTGAAATAGGCACTATAAATTTTTTTTCTGAAAAAGTATTTATCGAATATCTTTGCAGCTTTTAAAAATGTTAAAATTTTTGAAAATAAGGCTTCTGAAACCCTCGAAGCTGTCATTTTTCTTATTCTAGATGAGCAGATGGTCTTGTGGCTCTCTTGGTGATGGAGTGACGTCAACATTGAGAAACTACAGCAAACTAAAGACTATTATGGAACCTTATCTGAAGTAAATAAAATATGCTGTATCGCCGCCTCTCAAGTTTTTTTTATCCTAGTAATAAATGGG